AAATTCGGAGCATGTGTACATCTTAGTAAGGTGCATCTAATAAAAATATAAAAAAAATAATTCGCAAAAAATAAATTGATTAAAATACCCCCAAAACCTTTCTGGGGTATTTTGATCAATTTTTTTCATGGAAAATATTTTTTTGATATTTTTCATAGATTCGTCTATTTTTTATGAACACATGCTCCAAATTTCAGGTCATTCCGATTTGTAAAAGAAAAAAGAAAAATGAAACTCTACCAGACAATCGTGACTGAGCGATGAACTTTGGACGGTGATGAGGATAGGCAAAAGCACTGTTCATTTTTGCCTATAGGCATCTTGTAGTATCTTCCTATATATATAAACCAACTGTGAGTGAGCCTATTAGGTTCACCATGCTTCCCATCAATCTTGATCCAATCGAGAATCTCAATCTCCTTGATAGCTTGAAGAGATTCTGACCTTCTTGAGAAAAGAGGACCCATCTTCTATCTTAACAAATGCTTCATTATAGATACATTTTAAACATGACAGTATGAGACAACCAAATAACTTATAATGTCAAGGAAGCACAAAGTATGCCAAGAGAACCTAAGAGATACACTCACTTCCCTAAAGTCAATCTCTTCATTATTGTTAGAATCTTCGGATACCATGAATGTCAACTTGAGCTCCCCACACACAAAGGAAATTTTAGGGAGATGTACCTCACCAGATACAAGCTCCAGCATCCCAATATTATTCACCTCGCTAACTTACTGGTCATTAAAAAACAAAACATCAAACAGATTCCAAAGTTCCTACTAAACCATTGCATCCAAGAATATCCCTTGAATATATAAAAAGGAAATTCTTCCTGCCAATAGGCCTTGGAACCTCCAGTCCAAACCAAACAGTAAGCCAATGGGGATGCTTGCTCCCAATTCTCCAAAAAAAAAATAAATAAATAAACTGGGATGCTTGCTCCCATCACTCACCAAGGTACGAGTGGAGAGAACATATTTGTGAGCTGCTGGCGACGTTATTTGCAAGAAGAATGAGCTAACATGTGATGCCAAAGCCCATTATCTCTAGCATATAGCCTAGGAACCACCAATCCATCCAACCATACACATTTAGACCCAATATGCTGAAGACAATGTTAGTGCTCTGGTAACAGGAGTCAGGAGTATTGTGTGCATGCACCTCCCCATTTAATGACTATGATCTTTCACAAAACAATGATGGGGCTAATATGCTGAATTTGGTATTGCAAGTTTAGACCTAGAATGCCAACCGTTGGCAGTCTTCAACAATATTACGAACAATAAATCCATATGGCCATTTCGGAGACTTGTGCAGAGTGTCTTTTTTTTCGAATTTCTTTCCTTCTTCATTGCTGGTAGATCATTAAAGTAAATGACTTGCTGATGATTTATTGAAAGCTTTTGAGTGAGGCACTAGAATAATGGTGTGACTACACATCTGCAACCACCTTTATGTTTTTTATCCTTCACATTCATTAGTACAGACATAGAATATAAACAGAAATACACAGAGGAGAACACCCCTCTCATGCAGAGACTGGTTTAGAAACTGAGTCTCCAAATAACAGTGGTGATTGAGTCCATTTGCTTTCTTGCTTGATTGCTGGTAGATCATTAAGGCAAATGATTTGCAAATGGTCCACTGAAATGCTATGTGAAGGGCAACTAAATATTGGCATGATACACCCTTGCAACTACCTTCCACAGTTTTCCCTTAACATTCATTAGTGCAAATATAACAGAAATACACAATGGGGAACAATATTCATATACACATATAGGTGTCAAAACTACATCCCCAAATAAGTGGGGTGATTGAGACCATTTTTGGCTAGTGAGGAAAGAATGACATTGGCATCAAGTGTGATATGTGTAAAAGAGACATCCCAACTCCAACTTAAATTAAAAACATCTTAGAAGATAAAAGCAGAGGTGTAGGTGAGGCCCACAAGATCACAATGGAGAAGTTATGTGCCACCAATGACACCCCTCAGCCAAAAGAGCTCGAAGTCAACTTTATTGGAGTCCATATCAAGTGGGTACATTTATTGCCCTTGCTTCTAATTTAGCAGCCAATAAAAAGTGAAGGGTTTTAAGCCCATTAGCTTCATTTGATAGAACATACAAGATTCTAGTCCAGGTAACATCAATTTGCTCGAGGGATGTGTCTGCATCCATGATCTTGATTTCTAAAGGAGTCTTTTTTAAAGGCAGACATGATGACATTTTGTTGGTTCATGAATCCATCAAGTCATGGTACTGCATGGCTAAGGTTGTCCATAAGAAGCACTTTGAAACCTAGTGATAAATATGTCCAAATATATCTTAGGTTAAAGGAGCATCGGCTGTAGGTGAAGAATAAGGATGATGACAGATCTCTACATCTTTGGCCTATTTTGTTGTGTTTGATGAATGTCACTAAGCACTAACCTCAAGTACTCATCATACAAGGGGGAATCCAACATTACACCAATACAATTACATATTTCACACAGTTAGCTTACTCATATCTGCCCAAAAGCCTATGGAAATACATATCATATGCTATATCTCCCTTACATTACAGTTACTACTTACTACAGACTGCAAAGAGTGAAACTGGACCCTTGTTCTATACTGCTGCTTGAAAAAGGATGCACATCAGTCATTACTTAAGAACTGACTTCAATGTCTGCACTTCATTCATATCTTGAAAGAATAAATAGAAAGAGAAACAAATCTCCCAAGTCTATCAAGAAGATTCAGTAATGCATTATGCCACTTGCTTGCATCAACACCATTAAATAGTGAACCCTTTGAAAAGATCTTGGAGTTCATTTTAGTTTTCATATTCCACTTTTTTGTGGTGACACGAATGCCATATTGAGATTGACCCCCAAAATATGATGCACAATGAGGGTAACCACAGTTTAATTGGGAGAGATACAAAATTGGTGTTAGTTCACTTGTATTTTCACCTTATAAAAGTTATATATGAAAATAACAAGCAAGTTCCATCCACTCGTTGGCTTTTTAACTGGCAAATTGTCCCTTGTCTACCTCTATCTGCCAATTCATGTTGTACAGGGGGTGGAAGCATTACACACACAATTTCTTTCTCCTTAGTAACATTTCATTCAAGGAGTATACATCAAGTTGTGCTCAAAAGATCCCATACAATTGGATATGCAGAAAATGGGGAAGACAAGGGAAAGAGTGAACAGAGGAGAAGAGAAAGAAAACGACAGGGGACTTAATGTTAAAGGAATTTTAGGTACAGCCAACGTCTCACAGGTAAGGTCCACCCCTTCCTTGGCAAGGCCATCAGCAGCTCCTTTTGCCTTCTTGCGTACAAGTCCAAACTATGCACCAAGGAGTAGCAAAGCAGGGTAATCTCTTCCATAAGATCACTTGTCATGGGTACATAGACATGGAAAGCCCATCAAATGACATTAAGTGAACCCCTTCACCATTAAAGGGCCAGGCAGGTCACTCGCAAAATATAAGACCCATCAGTAGCATTGCACATATCTTTCTTAGTCAACTATTTATATTACTGCTCTACTCTAAGGCACATGTTTTTCTGTCTGCTAAGAAGTAACCATAGAGATTTCTGATTTTGAGGTCAGTCATGCATAAGAGGATCATGTAGAGAGTAACTCTGACACAATGATTGCATATCATGCTTTCATAGTATTTTGCCTTCTGCCTATGAAGGCACCACAATCTCATTTTATATTCTTATTGAGGCATGTAGTTCATTTGCAGTGACTATTCAATCCTTCAAACCCTAATATCTAGATGAAATCAGAGTCTAATGTAAATGGTAGCTGTTTGCTGCTATAAAAGGGATCACCACTTTCACTGGATCTTTATGGATCAAAGATGATCTAGACCTTAACCCTAGTTATTTCAAGGAGAGCATCAGAAGACCTAACTAGCCTCCCTGTTGCCTTCAAGTAGACCCACAGCATGTGGTGAAGATGATGTATGAATGCTCAGTCCCAAAACAGATGCACATCCATAAATTTTGAAAACTAGATCTCAAACCACTGAGCTAGCTGCATAGGGTCCTTTAGCACCTAAACTCTGGAGATTATTGTGATAGGCAGACCCATTCAACTAGAATTCCTAAGTAAATTCATAACAGCAGTTGGGAGTCATGAACCAATATCGGTGTTGATCTCTTGAAGCAGCGACACATCAAAAGGAATTATTGGCATACAATTTCAATAAAAAGATCAAATCCCTTACCCTATATAGAGGAGTGATATCCTAAGATTTTAGTATGATACATGTCATTAGTTGGGCAGCCTCCAAGCATCTAGTAGCTATGCAGTAAGCCAACCTGCAACTAGGTTAAATTACTTATCTAGAAGCACAATGTGATTTTAAATTTTAAAGAAAACATTTTGGCGAAAGTTAATGTCCCCAAATTTGAGTATTAGAGTCAATAACAAACTCCAAGAGTTTCCAAATAGGTTCATCGCTGCATTCAATGATATTTTAGCAGCTTGGAAAGTTAGCATGCTCCATCGTTTGCCCAGTGTGAGGCATTTCTAAAGTAAACAGAAATGAAAATCCTGTCATATCATTATAGAAGAGAAAGTAAAATAGATAGAAAAGAATGCAAGCCCCATTCAATACAAAGTGAATTCCAACAGTTAAATTTGAACTTTAGACTCGACAAACTTCTTTGTCATACAATATGTATACTAGTCTTAATGTATCCTCACTTATATATTGATCCAACAACCTGCAAAGCCCGGTAAAATGGAAAACAAATGAGTTGATAACAAAAATAATGGAAGAAACGTAGAAAGCACATTAGACATGAAGAAGGACATCATATGCCCATTAAAAATAAGGTACCAACAACAAAATGCACAAAAAGAAAACAACTACAAGAGCGCCAAAAGAAGCTAATCATGAAACCCAATAAATTAATAAGAAAATTGAGCTAATATTCTAGAGATGCAAAAAACAAATTACAACAAGCACCCGCAAACGCACCTGGCTGGTAGAACACCGATAAACCAAAATCGGTGGCCTTGAGAGGTGCATCCTCATCTTCACTCAAAAACAAGAAATTTTCTGGTTTGAGATCCCTATGCATAACCCCTAAAGAGTGGCAAGCCTCCACTACACCCACGATAACTTTGATCAAATGGGCAGCTTGTCTCTCACTATAATGGCCCTTCTGAATAATTCTATCAAAGAGCTCACCCCCAGCGCAAAGCTCCATTACCAAATGCACAAACACTGAGTCCTCATAAGCTCCTTTAATGGTTACCACATTTGGGTGGCCTGAGAGATGGTGCATTATCTCAATCTCTCTTCTCACATCTTCTATATCCTCCATGCATATGAGCTTCCTCTTCGCAATTGATTTGCAAGCATATTCTTTGCCTGTTGCCTTTTCTGTACAAAGATAAGTAGTACCAAATTGGCCTTGCCCAAGCTTTCTCCCAATCAAGTAGAGATCCCTAAGATTACCATTTTGCTGGCGGAGAACAGGGGACGCCATGATCGAAGCAGCCAAACCTTTCTTCATGGCTTTGGCAAGTTGGGTCTTTTCTGGGTCAAAGAAAGTTAGGATTTTGCTTGTAGGGTCTCTTTTTTCAGGGCTAAAACTGTTCAAGACTTCCGTGTCAAACTGGTGAGGCTCTCCCCATGGCTTTGCAAGATGGGCTTTTTGTGGGTCACAATGGTCACAAATTTGCTTCTTGGGTCTCTCTTATCAGTGTTTGACTTGTTGACCATGTATCAAAGAGGCAGCGCCATTACTGCAAAAACCAGATTTCTATATTTTGGAAAGTTGGGTTTTTTTGCATGATAGAAAATATTAGTATTTTGCTTGTTTGGTCTTAATCCTTCTGGGCTTAATAAAATAATTTTGTGGCAGAAACAGCAGGCGCCATTGTTGAATCAGCCGTAACTTTCTTTTTGGTTCTCAAATTTCAGGGTTTGGTGGATAGACTTGGTTATCCGGGTCTCTGGTCTATGGATTTCTAAGTTGCAGAGCTTAGATAACTGGGTTTAGAGCGATCAAGGGATTTCGGTTTTTCCAAACAGGTTTTGGCGACAAAGATTTAGGGTTTTTTAAAATGGAAATGGAGTTATGTCTCAGAGTTTCACGGTTTGCTACTAGTGGGAAAAGAAGAATGGGTAAATGGTAATTATGACCTAGGGTTCTTGTAACGTACTGCTTCTTCATCTTGGACTGATTGTTGTGCTTCGGTTTTTGTGGGACTGGGTTGGATGGATGAAACTGCACAGAAGCTTCCCATCATTCACATATTTTGGTTTCTTTTTTACTGTTTTGTTGTTTTCAACTGACTTCTTTTCTTTTCTTTTGTCATTCTATTTTGAAATCTTTTTATTTTTTAGGAAAATTGTTTCATGCGGGCCGTACAATATACGGTCCAAAGGTATAAAACATCCATTTTAAAAATGGATGCACGTAGGTGGTCCGTCGAAAAACCAGTATTCTAGTGTTCAATTGTTTTTTTTTTTTATAGTATGATCTCTATGTTACAAATTATATATTCTCTAAAAATTAAGATCAAATTTTATTTAAAAAATATATTTAGAGTCAAGTCCACATTTTTACAATATGCTGCATACAAACCATGTCCTTTTTTTATTCTATGCTTCCTTCGAAAACAAATGTTTCATGCTGGATCGCATTTCTACAATATGCAGCCTAGAGGTATGAAGCATCCATCTTAAATATGGATGCAAATAGGTGGTCCATCTAAAATCAATTGTAACTAGCGATCTAAATGTTTTTTTTAATATAATTATTATTTTTTACTTTACTAACAGTGTCTTTCATTTTAATAGTTTTTCCTTTCACAATATTACAATTTACTGGTTCATGTAATTATTATGCATCTCAAAAGGTGAAAGGTTCCATTTTTTTTATTCTTTTCTTTCATTTCAATGCTTCTATTTCTAAGTTTTTCTTGTTTTTATTGTAAGAAGATAATTGATGGGGGTTCTTTATTTTCCTTTTTTCTTACTTTAGAAAAGTTGTGGTCGCGTCCATGGTGAAGTGTAGGCCCATGAAGCAAACCCCGGATTCTTTTCATTATTTTAATTAAACTTAATTTTCTTTTAGGAATAAACTAGGAATCTCTAAGCATGGTTCTGAATTTATAATGAAAATTCAGCCCAAGAGGTAACAGCCATTAAAAAAATGGTATATTATAATAAAAATATAAATTATTTACCTACCAGATATTCAACTAGATTAAATTGCTAACTAGGCACTCAACTCAATGATAATTGCTAACTAGGCAACACTCAATGTTGTGTTCTATAAAATTATCTTGGGAAAAGTTTATATAGAAAAGCTCTAAACAATAAGATAAGAGCCTATATTGAAAATTTCACTAGAAGAGGTTGTTTTGATGTCTAAATATCCTCAAATTGATCATTTCCACATCAAGATGCATAGACATGAGAATAAATAAATAAATTTCAAGTTTTGAAAATAGTATATTTTATAACATATTTTTAGACCGTCAATTTTAAGATTTTGAAGTTTTTATAGATATGTGGATCTATACTATTTTTTATAAAGTTTTACCGATCTATATTGTTTTGTAAAGTTTAAAAATTTGTAAATAAAATGAAAATACATTTTAAGGCTATCACAAAGATTTCCAGTATTGATACTACATTTCTCGATACTATTTGAAGGTAGGATCTAATTTGATTGTTTAGAGCCTAGGCTCTATACAAACCGCACCAATTATCTTTGAATGTGTCTTGTGCTTTATATAATTTAGAATTATTTTTTAATGTGTCATGAATTCTATATAGTTTAGGGACTTATAAAGGATAGAATAATACTGAGTTTTATGTTATTTTATTTTTGTTTTTAAAGCAAAGAAAAGGGAACAAGGGGTGATGGGAAAGAGAGAATGGACGTGGCCTATGTCCTTTTTCATCTTTTCAGGCTTGAAACTGAAAAAGTCACAGGAAATTGAAAAAGTCCCAGAAATTGAAAAAGTCACAGGAAACATGATTTTAATAAAGAAATGGTTTTTATAATATGCCCCGTCTTTATAATTTATTTGAAGATGTATTTTAAATTTAATTTTTATTCGTGAGATGAATTTTAAATTTAATTTTTTGGGAATATATAATCTCTTACCTCTTTCTCGTATTTATCCTCATCTATTTTGTCAAAGTTGCTCTTTTATGGGCTAAAGTTGCGGACTTGATATCTCCTTCATCTTCAAACTTCATGATTTGGAACATCAATTGCCTATACAGTAGGCTTCCGGATATGGTACCTCTTACTTTGGTTAGATAATGTTTATAACTCACCTAATTTTGAGGATGGTATTATTTGGGAATCTGAAAATGATGGGAATTTTTTTATTAAATCAGCATACAAATTACTTTTTTATATATAGGGTTTATAACACTCTCTTTCTTTGCTCAATTTGGAAGTGACCTATCCCTACTAAAGCGCAAGCGGATTGCAAGTTAAAAAAAATGCCTAACTATTGACAATTTGTAAAAGATGGGTAAAATTCAAGTGACCTATTTTTCCTAAAGTGCAAGCGGCCAATCAAGGAAAATGCCTAACTATAAACAATTTGCAACATAGGAGTAAAATTCTTCTTAATATTTGTTTGTTGTGCAAAAATGATGAAAATTTTGGTACTCATTTCTTCTTACACTTCCTTTTTGCCACCACTGTGTATTGGGCAGTATTGCTGATACGTGTTTTCTTTATGCTTCCTCAGAATCTTGCTAGCATCATTACTTACCTTGCTGCAAATGGTCTTCCAAAGAAGGGTGTTTTGTTACAGTAACGAGGAATGAAATAGAGAGTTAAATTTTTAAATTCTTAGTTTTTTTTTTTTTAATGAAAAATTTATCAAAATACATTTAAATATTTAATAATTTGCTCGTTTTCAACCATTCCTACTCATGGTCATGCATATTTCAATGGGGATTTCGAAATTAAAACGAGAGATATCGTAAAATATTAAATAATTAATATCTTATGTGTACTTTGATAAATTTCCCTTTTTTTAGTCTTGTTAAACAATAAAGCTCTTATAATTCTTAGATCATGTCTCTAATCATGGTCTCTATTAGTCCAACCAATTCTTAAATTTTCTCAAGGGACCTAGAATCTTGTCTAATTTGTTTTATTTTTTTTTCAAACTGTTATATTAAATTTCCATTAATATTTTTTTAAAAGTATATATTTATTTAAAATATTTAAAATTCATTATGAATAGAAAATAATGGTGGCAATAGGTCAGGTTGCCCCGGGCCCTAGTTCCCATAGGGCAAGCCCAAGCCCAAGCCCAAGCCCAGGCCCAGGCCTAGTGCAAGCCCCATAAGAGTTGGACAAGGCCAAATAAAATCTCGAAAAAAAAAAAAAGAAAGGGGGCTGCTCAGCCCAGCTCTCGGGCAACATTTCGTAGCCTAAGGTTTTGGGGTCACGCTGACCGGGCCAGGCTAGGCCACCCGACCCATTGCTACCCCTAATATGAATGTTTTGGTAAGAATAGATAAAAGTTCGAATGACTTTATCAAGAGATAGTTGAAAACAAATGTAAACAAAACAAAATTTTATTACATAGGATGACGTAAGATGCCAAAATCATGTCATTTCTAAAACTCTGAAAAATGGTAAAGAAGAAATATTAATAGTAAATATTTCAAAAATCAAGCTACATGTTCTGCCATCTTAATATATAGATTTATATTTTTAAATTTAGCATTAGTTGCGTAGACTAAAGGCAAAATATCACTAAAGGACGCGGTTAGCATACGGCCAAGCCTGCACTTGTAGAAATGAGGGCTTGGCAATAAATATATTTTTAAAATATTATTTGATCTTAATTTTTAGAGAATATACCATTTTTAACATATATATTAAAAAAAAATTTGAATTGTTAGTTACAATTGTTTTTATATAGACTATTTATTTGCATTCATTTTTAAGATGGATGCTTTACAACTTTGGACAGCATATTGTACAAATGCAGTTCAACCGTCATGAAACAATTGTTCATCACTAAAAGAGCATTCCAACATAAAAAAATAAAAGACTATTATTATGATAGTCAAATCAATTTAGCATTATAGCGATCTCTTTTCAAGATTTCTCTCACCAAAGCAACTCCTTATAAAAGTTATTTACGAATAACCAAATTGTCAATATTCCAGATATAGAAACCTTAACAATGAAATGATTACAAGATTCTTTTCACTCATGGGCATTTCAATAATGTAGAGTCGCTTGAGTAGCTCAAGCCAAATAGTGCAAATATACGATTTTGTGATAGTTCACCGATTTTTGCTCGTAACCATAAACTATTTATTTGTGGAATAAGAAGGTTACAATCATTCTTAGTCGTTGGATTTGAAATCCGATGGGTTAAAGTGTATTACAATATTCGAGAGAATTTTTATTTTGGTCCTATTTAATCGGGTGAGTTGTTGGGAAAAACGTAATCGCATAATGCAAAATTAGATGTTCACAAAATCAGCCAAGTAGCTTCTACTAGGCCGAGTTACAGGGCTTGGGCCCTTTTGAGCCCACGTTGTCCCAAGTTGGTGTCCAACTCAGGGATACTAAAAAATTTTATTAAAAATACTAAAAAATAAGAAATTTATTTAGAATATGTTTTTTCTATGTTTCATTTTGGCAAAGATCGGAAAGAGTTTTGGTCATAAATAGTTATTTTTACATTTTTTTCTAACTTTTTTGGATTATTTCAAAAATACACCCAACACCAATTGCTTTTTTAAAGGAAAAAGTTTATATAGACCCAAGGTTCTAAACAATGAACTTAGAGCACACCTCAAAATTTTAATTAGAAGAGGTTGTTTTGATGCCCAAATATCTTCAAATTGATCATCTTGATATCAAGATGCATGGACATGAGAAAAAATTGGATTTCAAGTTTTGAAAATAGTACATCTTGTAATGCACTTTTGGACTGTCAATTTTCAAGATTTTCAAGTTTTTGCTCGATCTATACTATTTTTTAAGCTTTAAATTTTATAATTAAATATGAAAATATATTTTAAAGCTATCACAAAGATTTCCAGTATTGAAACCACATTTCTCGACACTATTTGAAGGGGCACTTTACTTTCAGCTCTATACAAACCGTACCGTTTTTAAAAATCTATCTTTTCACTACTTTTTTATTTTGAAGTGTTTCGCTTAATCTTACTTTAATTATAAATTTTCAAAAAAAAAGGAATTTTTTACAATGTTTAACCTTCTTTTTTTTTTAGCCGCTACAGTACTCAACACTA